CTGTGTGAGTGATCATTATATCTTGGGAGATAGAGGCCAATAATCCATGAGCACCTGTGCGGCAACGAATCTGTCTTAAGAACAGAGTGTCACACACTCGACTTGATTCTGATTTTGCTGTTCTAACTTTCTGATACATGAACTTCCTGTAAGTAATTTATTTAGGGCTTGTTTGGCATCTACTGTATAAGTCAAAAAGCCAAAAAGTTACTCCAAAATCTAAAAAGATATCACTATTCATCAAAAAAAATTAAAAAATCAATTTTTTTCAACAATAGTACACACGGAATTGATGACCCGTGCAGCTGCTGTGTGGCAATGGGGAAAACAAGAAATGACTGGGTGTGCTTTTTACACACACCGTTGTTCGTTTCATGGGGGCTATCACGGGTCCCATTTTGACAATCTGAACCGTTTAATGTGTAGAAATCGTCAGGTACTATATATTTGCAAAAAATCACATTGATCAGATATCGATAATTATATGATCAAGTTAGTTATGTACAACTAATGGATGGTGTTATAATTTATGATTGAAAAATAAATAAATCTGATCAGATAGCTATCGATATCCGATTAACGTGATTTTTTATAGGTACATAGTGTTCGACGCATTACACACATTCAACGGTTCAGATTATTAAAATGGGACACGTTATGACCCCCACGGGCCAAACAAAACCGTCTAGTACAATGCCAAAAAATTAGCCAATAATTTCCTACTCCAATTCACACACGCAGGTTGTACGGCTGGGCCCACTTCTCTCTAATCTTCTCTTACACACTTTTTTTATACAAATTTTTAATACACATTTTTCCATAAAAAGTCAAAAAGTTAACCCAAACCTCCATATTTTTTTCTCAACTTTTTTAGTCCAAAAAGACAAAAAGTGCACTTTTTTAGGACACCCCAAACCAGCCCTTACTTTGTTTCAATTTTTATTTTTTACACAAAAGATTGTTTCAATAATCTTAAGACATATTCAAATTAATTTGTTTATACAAATGTAGACACCTCATTTTAACCGGCCTTAAGACTTGGGCTTTCTTTTGATTATCCGATGATGAAAATCAGAACATGTTTCTTACAAAATTCTCAATAAAAAAATGAAATTTAAGCTTTACATTTTTGACCTGAGCCAATTTTAGACAAGTTTTTTTAGGCCGAACCGGAGCAAACCTACCAAAGTTCCCTTGGCCGATCGACTACCCCAAGTTAGTCAGCTTCAGTTTTGTTTGTTCGGTTCATGTGGGCATTCCATTATACCATTTTCTAATATATTCAGGCATCAAAATGCATACACACTCAGCCTTCATTGCTAAAAGAACTTGACCTTTCAAAAAAGAGAGAGTTAAAGCAAAGAGAGTTCATGCTTCATTAACACAATAGTGCTTCACTTTCTATTCCACCTTTGTTTGCCTCCACTGATAGACTCCATTCACGTTGCCTATATACACAGAGGTCTGAAATGAATGAAAGGGGAATTAATGAAGATAGAGAATGGATAAAGAAAGAGTAGAGTGATAAGAGAGTGACTAAGCTTTGAGAAATCTAAGCAAGGATTTCCATTACATTGCTACACTCCTTATGCACTGTTATTTGATTTCAAGAACTCCAGAACACTAATATATCATATCTATACACTGTTGTTGGTTCCAAAAATTCTTTCATAGCCAACTTGTGAAGCTTTGATCAAGGAGTGTTCAGATTGTGTCATAAGGGAGAAAACTAGAGTGATTGTGAAATTTGGGTTTTCACCATCTTCCTTACACATACTATTAAACACCCCAAAATTGTCATTCTAGCTAAAAATTCAAATTTTCGAATGGAGGATTGAGAACATAATTCATTACCTTGAGGGTGATTAAAAGGAAGTTTGAAAATTAAGAAGTTCATTCTTTCTTTGGAAGGTGAATTTTCAATCTCTCTTATTTTCTTGTATTTTCTATCTTGTATTTGTTTTCTTGCTTTTATTTCATATTGGTTTTGTTATAAGTTAACTGGAAGTGATTAGTTGAGCCACCTACATATTTCTTATTTGTTCATTTTCTCAGTTTTGCAACAAGACAAGTTTCACTAGGCCTAGTTGGCCGGCCAGCCTATATGGTCTGCCGGTTAACTTCTTTTGGACAAGACAGTGTAATCTTCCGATGTTGACCAATTTCTGGTGGTTTCCAAGGCATATATAGCTTCTATTTTGTTGTTGTTGTTTATTTATTTATTTTATTTTTTTATTTGAGTGTTTTGTGAGGTTTTTATTTTATTGTAATATTTTTCTTCTCTCTCTCTCTCTCTCATTTGGTTTGTAATTATTCTTTCAAAATATTGTAATAATTCTCCACCCCGTTTATTTCTATCTCGTTTTTTTACTTGCTTTTCTTATTTGTATATAAGCATCATATTTTGATTTTTCATCATATCCATACTTTGCATCCATGTTTCATGCATCTTGATTCGGCTAAGTTTGCATTTGTGGATTTAATCAATTCCTACGTGATTATGTGTGCTACCTCATGTTTTTGAGATGATTCACATGTTATATCTTAGAGACCAAATATTTAGTTGCATCTCATGTGTGAATTGCATTAGAATTTTGTATATAAGATCATGCATATTTTGCTAACTTGTAACTATTTGCGGGACGTTGGTAAATATGTAATGCTTTAGCATCTCGCTTGTGTGTGTTTTTCTTATTATGTCTTGTATCCTACCATAAGGCTACTTGCTTATTTGATATAACTGTTTGAATGCCGATGGATGGAGGTTGTGTCGCTTAATTTAGAATGATGTTGATATTTTATGTACTCAATTTCTTTGGGTTTCACATCTTCAAAACACATAAAATCATGTTGCTCCAAAATGAATGACATAGTTTATACTTATATGCTTCACATAGTAATTTTTTAAAGATTTATTAAATAAATCAAAATATGAACATATAAAGTAAATAAAATTCATATCATGAACATCTTGGTTACGACAAACAATGGCCTTGGCACGAGTCATGAGTTTCCTAATTTTTTTAAAATATTAGATGGCAACTCTAAGATTTGGTGACGTACTCCATTTCTGGAAATGATTTTGCACTAAAATGGATTTTCTATAAAAGTTGTCAAATTTGGACTCATCTATGTTTTACATTGCACTCATAAGGGTAGATCACAGAAATCAAGGGTCTGAACTGTTTAACACGCACGGGTACTCCCCAGACATGTTACAACAGATTTTTTCGTTTGTTTCCTTTTAGAATACATTCTTTTTATTTTTATTTTTTTACAAAAATTATTTTCTGTGTGAAGTTTGTCAGAAATTAATTCTGAATTTTCAAAAATAATATTTTGGGTTTTCATTAATTAAAATTTTGATTTTCAGTATTTTAATTTTTGAAGTTTACAGAAATAATATTTTGTGTGAAATTAATTTGATTAAAAAAAATTTTATTTTCAAATTATTTTGAAATAAAAGTTACAACTTTGTTATTTTTTTTTTATTTTTTTTAAAAGATTTATGTTCTATGTTTTTTGGTTTAATTTTTTGTGTAATATAAAATTCTAATTCTAATTCTATTTTATAATTTAGAATTCAATGAAATTGCTCAAACATCTAATCCGACCGGTGTTGCGACTACCCTAATCCCTCATGTTATTGTGACAGTCCCGGTGAATCACAGGAAAAAGTCAGAAAAGTTCCTAGAACTGACTTTAAAAGATGGCAGCAGAAAATGTTGTTATGTCTTACTAGATTAAATCTGGCGTGTTTCTTTCGTGAAAATGCTCCTGTTCTGAAAGAGGATAAGACCGACTGATCGACAAGCGGTTGCTGCGGTGGTCGGAATAGAGAATAAGTATTTTAAGCTTTTGTGGTCGGAATAAATAACAAACTTCTCACCATATAAATAATGTCTCTAAATTTTTAAGGCAAAGATTATTGGTGCTAGCTTTAAGTCATGAGTGGGGTAATTCTTCTCGTGGATTTTTAATTGTCGTGACCCTTAAGTTACAGTCTTTTCCTCTTACATCAACACACAACCCAGTCTGTCCCGAGACGCATCACAATACACGGTATAACCCAAACCTCTTTCCAAAATTATCAAAACTGGAGCGGTAGTCATCCTAGTCTTAAGTTCTTGAAATGATTTCTCACAAGTCTCGTTCCACACTGTCACGACCCAAACCCGCCCCTATAGGTTTAGCATCGTAACCAGCCAGTAATCCATGGATTACAGAAGGCCTCTGAACTGATTAACAAAATTAAGGGGCTAGCGGAAGCAAATACATAAATATAGTTGTCCAATGAGCTGTGCTGACCTATATGAAACAGAATATTTAAAACTTTATATACATATCCAAAGGTTATTCATACATTAGACCCACACACATAATAGCACCTTAAGTACAGCCAACAAAACAAAACTGATATACATAAGCAACTAGAACTCATAACATGGACACTTCTGGAACCTCCATATGAGGCACAAAGGTTGGCTAACAAAAAAAACACAGATTCAAACAAAAGTCTTCAGGGCTGATCTCCAGAATGCTCACCTATACATATATATACATACAGTGAACTAAAGCCCAATGAATAACATTAAGGTAAAGGGGTTAGCGAACGAATTCCAAACATTTCATGATTGTAAAACATATCGTAACATAATCATTCACATAACTGAACATGATAATGATACATCCCATAGAACACATCACATATCGTCTTCCGACTAGAGTAATTGGTTCCGGGTACCGATTAAACGCATATCACCACAATGAAGTGGTTAACGAGATCTCGTATCACATATATGTCATGGACCTGCATTTTCATGCCGTCCCCCATGACTTGGGACTATCTATGGATGCCATAATAGATTCGCAAATAGGATATTTGTTCACATAATCAAAATAACATGTCAGAAATTATAGCTTAGAGCAGAACAGTTGAAACATAGTTCATATCAACATTTCTTTACAGAAATGTTACTCACACTGGTTCTCGCAAATGGTCAATCGATCTTCGAGTCTTGACCTACATCCACAAGGTACATAACACAAACATACTATATCATTACACATTCACATGGCCATCACAGCTTAGTTCTCATTACATGGGTTTCTTGCTTAACGCTTTGTTCAAAACACACTCTAGTAATCTCTTAACTTAGTACATTCCTTTTCTTAGTGTGTTTCTAATCGATAACCTCATTACTATGGCTTAATTAAGGCTTAGGAATGCCTGAGATACAATGAGGATGCCAAAATATAAGTTAAAACACTTGGTAAAATTTCTGAAAATGAGGTCCCCGCTCGAGCGTAGCTTTCCTCGCTCGAGCGGACATGCAAACGTAAAAGGGGTCGCTCGAGCAAGACTTCCTTCGCTCGAGCGGCCTGCAAACTTGGAAAAAGTACTAGTTGGTCTCAGTCTACGCTCAAGCTACAACTCCCGCGCTTGAACGGATCAACAATATACAAGGGGTTTGCTCAAGCGTCCAAGTGGTCGCTCGAGCGGGCTGTAATAGCCTGCAAAACTACTGGATGCACGAAATGTTCGCTCGAGCGGCAAATACCCCGCTCGAGCGACCTTCAAAAATTCTGGGTTTCCAAAACAGGATTTTGAGCTTCCAAAGGCAAATTCAAAGGCAAATCGTACACAGCTTGCTCAAAAAACTTGGTAAACTTTTCTAAAACAGAAATATATGGTCAATTACAAACCCTTTGGTCAAAACTCATGGATTTAGCTAAATTGAGTTCAAAACTCCCATGCATGTATGTTTCAAAAACTCTTTCTCTCAAAGTCCATATGCATATAAAAATCGAGCTTCTAGACTTCAACATATATACAAAACTCTTTCTCAAAACATGATTTAAAAGGCATTAAGTGATGATTCAGACATGCATGAGCCAATTATCTATAATTTCTACATGAAGGATCAAAATTAAACTTGATGTGGCAAAACCAACACGCATGAAAACTTCTTTACAAAACTCATCAAACATGGAATTTGCTTTCAAATCTTGATCTAGTATGCATGCATGTTAATTTCATGGTCTCAACTCAACATGATAACAAAGCTTATATTCAAAAATGATGATGTAACACTCTTACTTCCATGCATGTACGAATTATGAGCCAATTCTTCATTTTCTTGATAAACTCATTAGAAATATATGGAAATGATGATAACAACTCCATGAATGCATCTTTATAACACAAATTCTTTATGAATTATGGATTAGGTGCTCACCAAAAGCCTTCAATTACACAAGATCCTTGCCAAACTTGAGCTACTCTAGTAAATCCTCAACTTCTACTTTGAATCTACACTTTTTCTCTAAAATGGAGTCTCATTTTCACTCTAGAATAAATTGTCAGATTTTCCCACTTGAATCAAGTTTGTTGAGCACAAAAGAGCTTATAAGGCAACTTATATATTTGGGATGTATTAATACATTAATTAGAGCATTTGGTCCATCCAAACACAACTTAATTAATCGATCTGAATCAATTTTTAATAAAATTTGCCAAAAGATTCTACAAATTCCAAATAACATATTAATGTAACTAATTCCGGTTTTCGGATGCTGATAAGGCTTTCAATTTTCATATTAAAGCAGAATCCTAGACAGACATTTCCACAAGTAACAGATAGAAAGCCAAAGATCATGCAAAATACATAATAAACACATAGTTTACTTTACCCACTTAATTAACATCCTTAATTACGGATTAATAGCTAATTACGGATCGGGGTTGTTACACACACATATTTGATACCCTTTCTGGTCACCCTGGTTAATGGTGCAACTAATCTAGAGAAGTCTCTCACAAAACAACGGTAATACCTGGCTAACCCCAAGAAACTTTAGATTTCAAAAGCATTCTTAGGATGTTCCCAATCCTGCATTGCATCTATGGCTACCCCTTATCTCGATACAACATGTCTAAAAAATTTCACCTCTGTTTGCCAAAACTCACACTTCTCAAATTTAGCAAAAAATTTGTGCACCCTAAGCAAGTCAAGCGCTACTCATAAGTGTTCCTCCTTAGAGGGTGAATAAATCAAAATGTCGTCTACAAAGACAACCACAAAATGATCTAAGAATTCACAGAAGATCCGATTCATTAAATCCATAAACACTGTTGGAGCATTAGTTAGCCCAAAAGTCATCACAAGAAACTCATAATGGCCATACCGTGTATGGAATGCCGTCTTCAGGATATCCTCTTCCCTACCTTCAACTGGTGATAACTCGATCTCAGGTCAATCTTAGAGAAACAACAAGACTCCTTCAACTGATCAAACAGATCATCTATACAAGGCATTGGGTACTTATTCTTAACAGTGACCCTGTTCAACTTTCGGTAATCAATACAAAGTCGCAACGCTCCATCTTTCTTTTTAGTAAAGAGAGCTGGTGCTTCCCAAGGTGAAGTACTAGGCGAATAAAATCCTTATCTAGTAATTCTGGGAGTTGAATCTTCAACTCACTCAATTCAGCAGGTGCAAATCTATATGGAGCCATAGAAATTGATGTTGTACCAGGCACTAAATCAGTAGAGAACTCAATCTCTCGGCGAGGTGGTAAACTAGTGAGATCCTCAAGAAAGACATTTGAATATTCACAAACCACCCTCGGCAACTCAACCCGGAATTCATCACACTCACTACTCAAAAAACTAGCAAGAAAACAACTAAGTTCACTCTGCCCACGCGGATCATACACCGGTGATAAGTCTCTATCCACACGGTCCCTCAAGAAATAAAAATAATCACCGTTTAAGGTACATACAATAACCTTCTGACGGTAGCAATCTATAACAGCTCGGTATGACGATAATCAGTCCATACCTAATATGACCTCAAAACTATACATGTAAAGTAATACAAATGCAAAAGGTAATCGATGACCAGCAACCTCGATGTCACAACCTCGACATCCCTGTTTCAAGATAACCTCACCACCAATAGGTGACCCTACACAAATAGGAGATGCTAACTGTGCCAACTCCAAACCCAAAACCGATACAAATGCAGACGAAATAAAAAAATGGGATGCACCCATATCAATCAACACATTAGCAACTGAATTGCAAAACAAAAAGGTACCTCTCACTACAGAAGGAGCAAGTACAAGATCCGGCTCTGCAACTACGTACACATGCCCAGTAGGTCTCTGCTCAACCTACTCGCCTCTCGGAGCATAAGCCTAATGCACTAACTGAGCCAAAGAGGCTCCGTGATTGGCCCTTGAGGCCTGTGCTGACTGTGTTGGCTAGTGACTCTGTGTCTGTCTCGAACCAAATGCACCAGATGTGCCACACAATTGTGGGCAAAACCTCTTCAGGTGCCCTGCTTGCCCACACTGATAACAAGTGAGCAGCTGGCCTCTCTCCTGACTCTAGCTCTAAAAACAAGCCGAAGATGACGCTGTTCGTTGCCCTCTTCCCCTCTGAGGACAAGTTGGAGACTTGTGGCCCAACTGACCACATTTAAAACAAGTAAAATCTCCCTGGCCACCCTTCTCAGAACCCGAACTCGATATTGAAAAAGTAGACCTTGACTGAGCTCCTTAGCAAACTACAATCATACACATTCGTGTCACATCAATCACACTTATAGTTATCGTATTGATCAAACACATAGAAATTCATTCACACTTGCAAATTCACAGTTTTGAAAAGCTTACCACATTAGGATATTCAGAAAATAAAGTAGATAAGAAAATATCTTTATTAAGATATTACTCACAATGATTTGGTTGTTGACTCGTCCTTACGGATGATCCTACACAATCATAAACATACTCACGTTGAATTATATTACTTAACTAGATTGTTCTTTAAGTCATTCAATTCTCTTAGGCTTCATTCTAACTCTTTAATTCATTTATGACGTTCAATTCATGTCTAAGAATGCTCAGAAAGGAATGAGAATGCACATTTGATCAGAATATGTCTTTTCAAAATATGCTGAAATAGAGCATTTCGCTCAAGCGGAACATTGGTCGCTCAAGCGGACAACTGGGTTTGCAAAAGTACTGGATGGTCCAAATCTAGGCTCGATGCTCGCTTAAGCTAAGGTGCAAAAAAAATGCGGTCGCTTGAGCCAACTGCGATTCTCTGCAAAAATACTATATGTATGAAATGTACACTCGAGCGACGGATTATTCGCTCGAACGGTGAGAAAAAATTCTAGAAACTTCAGAGCAGAGTTGAGCTTCAAAGCTTATAGTTTCAAAACAAATTTTTGCATGGCTTGTAAACAACTTCTTAAACACTTAAAGCTCTTCCAAAAATATGAATTCAAGATCAATTCTCAAACCTCATGGCCAAACTTCATGAATTCAACTCAAATAATCATGCATGTATGATTAAACTTCAAATTCAGTTTCAAAACCTTGTAAATCATGGAATTAAGCTCTAAAACTTCATAATTCATGAATGCATGTAGAAGATAGCTTCAAAAAATCAACATGGATGACAAAGTCATGCTAAAAGATGGTGAAATCTAACAAAACTATGCATGTATGTATGAATTGACTCTAAATTCAACAATCTTAACTCAATTCTCTCTTTTAATCACATAATCTTTTTGAATTCACATTATAGGTGGCTTAAATTCATGATTTGAGAATTAATTACTAACCTAAAATCTTGAATCAAGCCTTCACTAGCCAATTCTTGAGTTCTACTACACAATCCTTCAATCCTTCAAGTAAAACCTTCAATTTTCTTGTTTTCTCCCTCAAGTTGAACTCTCTCTCTCTCTCTCTCTCTCTCTCTCTATTGTTATCTCTACAGAATTTTGAGTATATTTTTTAGCCTAGTCACATATTATATACTTTTGTGATTAGCTTGGCCTAATTAAGCAATCTTGATATTAATTAATCCCACTTAATTCTAATTAATTTTATCTAATTAATTTAATCTGAATCAAATTTTAATCAAAATTCTCATTAAGCTCTAAAAATTGTGTTGATCATAGTAAATTAACCAATTTCGGTTTCTGACGCCACTAAGGCCATTAA